GCATCGGCAAATCGCATTCATCATGAAATTACGAACGAAGAAATAGAGAAAAGATTGGATTTAAGAGGAGTAGATATTTTTACTATAGATCCAGACGACGCAAAGGATTTTGACGATGCTCTTTCTATTCATGAAAAAGGTGACATTTACGAAATAGGAGTTCATATTGCTGATGTTTCACATTTTGTTAAAGAGAACGGTATTATTGATAAGGAGGCAGCAGCCCGAGCGACTTCGGTTTATCTTGTGGATAGGGTTATTCCAATGCTTCCGTCAAGGCTTTGTGAGGATCTTTGTAGCCTTGTTCCTCACGTCGACAGACTTGCTTATTCAGTTTTATTTTCCATTGATAAAAACGCACAAGTTCTTGATTATAAAATTGCAAAAACTGTTATTCATTCCAAACACCGATTTACTTATGAGTCTGCAGAGGACGCTATTTGGAACTCCGATGCCCCCTTTCATGGACATGTCTCGTCTCTCAATACTTTGGCAAAACAACTTTACAACAAAAGAATTAAAGAGGGAGCACTTGATTTTAATACGGAGGAATGGAAGGTTAAACTTGATGCGAATGGGAAGCCCATCTCAACACTTTTGAAGCAGCGTCTTGACGCACATCGCTTGGTTGAGGAGTTTATGTTACTTGCTAACAAAACCGTAGCCAAGCACATGTATAAACATTTTCAAACCGATGATTTGGATTATCCCGTTATTTACAGAGTTCATGACTTACCGACTTTAGACCGTATTATTTCATTTGCAAATTTTTGTAAATTGTCGGGATTTCATTTGAAATTGTCTAATCATCGGGATAAAATAACCGCAAACGCAGAATCAATCCAAAAGTTGCTCGATGACGTAAAGTCAACACCTTTCGAGGCGTTGATTCCTGACCTCATGCTGCGAACCATGTCTAAAGCAATTTATTCACCTAATAATATTGGACATTTTGGATTAGGGTTTCCGTTTTATTTGCATTTTACTTCACCTATTCGGAGATATCCTGATTTGATGACTCATCGCCTTTTGTTTGAATATGAAACGTTAAAAATAAACTCGCAAAAAATATCTCGCTCCCGTCTAAAAAAGTTAAAAACACTTGTTTCAATTATTTGTCAGCATTCCAGCGATGCCGAAAGAAATGCAACTGAAGCAGAAAGAAAATCTATAGCAATTAAGCAAGTCGAATATATGAAGCCCCGCGTGGGTGAGTTGTTTGATGGCATTATTTCCGATGTACTCGACTTTGGGATATTTGTTAAACTTACCTTAGTTGGTATTCATGGGTTTATTCATATTAAGGATTTTCCAAAAGATGATTATTACAATTTTGAAAAGCGTCTGTTCGCATTTATTGGTGAACGAACCAACCGACCATTCAAGGTGGGACAGACCGTTTCTGTCAAAATCACTTCAGTTGATGAACTTAAAATGAGAATTAATTTATCTTTCGCTGAATAATTTTTTTATTTTCACTTTTCAAATTGGAGCTAAAGTGTTTTCGTGGAGGACTGTGTTTAACAGTTTTTTTTTAATACTATCTTTTTTTTTTCTATCACTCAATTATGGATACTCTCAAAGTTACGATAATGACATGCCGTATGTTGACCCAACGGGAACGTACCAACTTTTTAATTTACTGAAACACGAAGCACCGCAAGTACCCAATGTGCTTTTAATGCTTGATGAAGTTGAACGTTATTTGGAGGTTCAATACAAATATGGAGCGAACGGAGACAAACGAGGTATTGATTGTTCTGCTTTAATGCTCAATATTTTTAAAAATACCTTGAAGAAGCAACTTCCAAGAACCGCAGCAAGCCAGTATTTATTGGGGCGATCAGTTCTTAAAACTGAAGATTTACAATTTGGAGATCTCGTATTTTTCAAAATAAACAGCAAAAAAATTTCACATGTCGGTATGTACATCGCGTCAGGTCATTTTGTTCATGCGAGCTCTTCTGTGGGAGTAACGATTAGTAATCTATCTGAGTCTTATTACAAGAAATTTTACACTGGTGCCAAGAGACTTTTTGAATCTTTCGATTAGTTGTTTTGTATTATGAGAGTCGTCTTATTTTTTTTATCGGCTGCGGCGGGTGCCTGCAGCGGTGAATCCAAACCACAAGCAGATCAATTTTTTTACAATCAGGTTCAGACCCAGGTTCAAACGAATATTCAGGATGAAATTTCTTCGTCTCGCCAAAATGCAATTACAAAAACAGTTTCTCTTGCTAGCCCCGCGGTTGTTGGAATTAACGTTACTGAAATAAGAGAATATCGTTATCAATCCCCTTATTTTTCTGATCCCTTATTTGAATACTTTTTTGGGTTATCTCGCCCTTCCTATAAACAAGAAATTAAAGGGTTGGGTTCTGGCTTTTTATTCTCCGAAGATGGGTACATTGTAACGAATGCTCACGTCGTAAGCAATGCTTCAAAAGTGGTCATCACATTAACCGACGGCTCTCATTATGACGCAAAAATTATAGGCATTGACGAAATTACAGATATTGCCCTGTTGAAAATTAGTGGAAAGAATTTTCCCTATCTCAAACTTGGAAATTCCAGTGAAATTCTTGTCGGAGAATGGGCAATTGCACTTGGAAATCCCTTTGGCTTATTTGATATTAATAACAAACCAACCGTAACTGTTGGAATCGTCAGTGCCACAGGGCTAAATTTTTCAAATATGCAAAATCGTTCCTACCGTGATATGATTCAAACAGATGCATCTATTAACTCGGGTAACAGTGGGGGACCTCTCCTTAATGCTGCCACAGAGGTTATTGGAGTAAATACATTCATTTATACAGAAGGAGGAAAAGGATCTATTGGCATAGGATTTGCCATCCCTATTAATAGAGTTAAATCTATCGTGTCCGAACTTAAAGCAAAAGGAAAAGTTAATAGATCATTTAGGACGGGCATTAGTATTCAGCCCATTGATAAAGGGTTGGCTACTTATTTTGGTTTGGATAGTAAAGCAAGTTTTATTGTTACCGCAGTCGAACCAAGATCTGCCGGCGAGCAAGCTGGACTCTTAGTGGGAGACATCATTCTCGAAGTTAATGGCAAACCCGTTCCCTCATCTAATGAATTAGCACAGATTATGTTAGAACTTCGCTCCGGTGAAGTTCTTAAACTCAAAATTCAAAGAAATAAGAAAACGTTCAATGTAAATATTAATCTTCAATAATATTTTTTCGACTTGTATCTTTATGCTTTCATACTTTAACGCTTAATTTTTTATTATGACAAAGATTGGAATAAATGGATTTGGGCGAATTGGTCGGTTGGTTTTCCGACAAGCCCTAAAGCAAAAAAACATAGATGTCTTGGCTATTAATGATTTAACCGATGCGACAACGCTTGCTCATTTACTTAAATATGATTCTACACATGGGCGGATTAATGCAGAAGTCAGCGTTGCGGGTAACGATATTGTGGTCAACGGTAAAACGATTAAAATCACAGCCGAAAAGGATCCTGCTCAACTTTCCTGGGGTGCATTAGGGTGCGACATTGTCGTTGAATCTACAGGGCTCTTTACAAATCGTGCTTCATCCGGTAAGCATTTATCTGCCGGCGCGAAGAAAGTTATCATATCCGCACCCGCAGACAAAGATATAGACGCAACTGTCGTTATTGGGGTAAATGAAAAAACTCTTAAAGGAACAGAGCAAATTATTTCCAATGCCAGTTGCACGACAAATTGCCTCGCACCTATGGTGAAACTCTTACACGACCAATTTGCTATTGAAAATGGTATTATGACAACAGCCCATGCTTACACAAATGATCAGCGAATACTTGATTTGCCTCATAAAGACTTACGACGCGCAAGATCCGCTGCCGTTTCAATCATTCCAAGCTCTACGGGGGCGGCAAAAGCTATCGGCTTAGTTATACCTGAATTAGACGGTAAACTCAACGGAAACGCATTACGCGTTCCTATTCCAAATGGATCAATTACTGACTTTACCGCTCTTGTGAAGAAACCCGTTAGCAAACAAGCGGTTAATGATTTATTTAAACACGCAGCAACTTCGAGTATGAAAGGCATACTTGAATATACCGATGAACCTATCGTCTCGGTAGATATTGTTGGAAATTCTCACTCTTGTATTTTTGACGCAGGTCTAACACTCGTGCTCGGACAAATGGTCAAGGTTTCAGGCTGGTACGACAACGAGTTCGGCTATTCTTCAAGGGTCGTAGATTTAATCAGACTACTTTCTTAAATTTCTTAGGTGCTTCGTTAAAAGGGCGTATAACATTGTGTTACACGCCCTATTCTTTTCTTGTGATCCCCCATGCTGTTAATCTAAAAGTAATTCTACAGTCTTTGTAACAGGATCAGCACCTGGTGCGGCACCTACTTCAGCGCTCTTGCGTTTTTCCGTCCCTATAGCTCCAATTTTGTAATATGCTTCTATAACATATTCCCCCGATTCCTTTATTGTAAAAGAACATTCACCTTTATTGTTCGAATCCTGCTTGTCTATACTATTTAACTTAAGCGACGCTATAGCCAAAGTTGTAGATGCCGAATAATCACCCTTTTTATAAAGGTAAACCGTAATACCTGGAACAGGAACAGGATCTGTAATCGTACCACGCAATGAAATAGCCACATTGAGCACGTCTTGCAGCGCAGATGTTACCTTAATATTTACCTTCGTATTCGCCGTTACCGAATTTTCCTTCACACATTCCATGCCACACACCATAGCCCATACTATTACAACAAAGCACAAATAATTTATCTTCATGTCTTTAATTATTGATTTCCGTTTCTATTTTCCACTATCTTTTTTTACCGTCCAAGCACAAAGTTACAGCATTCTTTGCAAGGCATACAGTACACCCACAAAATTACAAACAATTTCGCTTATGTTTTGCATTCTTTCGCATTTTTGCAAAAATATTTGCTATTTCGCAAATTTTGCTTATCTTTGCCCTCCCGCTTTTAGCGAAACATGTTCTCTCAAAATTCCTCGATAGCTCAATGGCAGAGCATGCGGCTGTTAACCGCAGGGTTGCAGGTTCGAGTCCTGCTCGGGGAGCTTAGCTATATTTACACTAATTAAATTTAACCCTAAATCAACGAAGAATATTATGATAAACTTATTTTCATACACGGCAAACGTAGGTTCTTATTGCTTAACAAGCAAGGCAATGACATCGATATTTACACTAATTAAATTTAACCCTAAATCAACGAAGAATATTATGATAAACTTATTTTCATACACGGCAAACGTAGGTTCTTATTCTACTAACACAACACAACACAACACAACATTCCGCGCGTACTAACTTTTTGATTCTACTTCTCTTTTTATTCATCTTTTTTAACGGCGAATGTCTTGCACCAACTCCAACAACCCACACTGTAACGCTCGACGCAAACAATGGCACCTTTGCAATGACCACAAATGGATCAAATACAACCGCAACGGTTTCTGTTGAATTAGGCAAAGCAATTCCTACAACCACACCTGTACCTACTCGTACCAATTACACGCTTCAAAAAAGTTGGAATACGAAAAAAGATGAAAGCGGAACGAAATATGTTTTCGGCGAGACTGTCATAACGGAGGACGTTATACTTTATGCAATATGGACGCAAAACAAACCTGCACCCCCAATAGGCTTAACCACAACCGTAATTAGTTCATCCAAAATCGACCTTATTTGGGCTGCCAGCGCAAACGCAACTTATTACATCCTTACCGACAATGGTTCAGAAATAGCAACTAATATTGAAGGAACAAGCTACTCGCACACCGGTTTAGCCGAAAATTCTACCTACAGCTACACTTTGAAGGCGTGCAATACGGGAGGGTGTTCCGAAGCGAGCGCGGTGGTGAGTGCAACGACATCTAAAATTGAAGTTACTGCCGTAGAACATCCACGAGGTAAGGGATTAAGAGACAGGTATGGCGTATTTAAAATTTCTGCTTCAGAAAGTATTAAAAATTACCGATTGGTCGTAAAAAAGAAAAGTGAAGAACCGCCTACAGCAGCACAAATGGAAAGCGGTGCTCACTACAAAAGAAACATAAACACTACCGAAATTTACATTCTGATTTCAAATTACATAACGGCTTATGCTGATTTACTTGACCCAAAAGAAACATTCATTCTCTATGGAATGAAAGAGAATGGAACTCCCATTCTTCTTGTAGAATTTACCACAGATTCAACCATTACTTCGACTGCCACAGGAAGCTCAAGTTGGTACATGGATGAGAGCATTTCTAAAATTACTTTAACTGCTCGTGTTGGTGATACCCTTTACATGCCTGTACAATTGCAATTTGATATAGATGAGAACAAGCATTTGTTTCCAGAGCCAAATGAAGCACGAGAACCATATACTATTAATTTTTACAAAGAAGGGGACGTTACTGGATTACAATATAGAATATCATCCAATTCAATAGTAAGTAGTAGTGGATATGATGATGCAAAAAATTTAATTAATAAGAACACCACACTTTCAAACCCACTAAAAGCAAGAACCCTATTTTATGAAATTACGCCATACTTAATGGCTTCGGGTAAAACTACTATTATTCGAGGTGATTTTAGTTTTAGTGTTGCAATCAACAGTAATTTTCCACCACAAATTGTTTTATGGAATGTAAGAACGGAGTAAAGGCTCTGGAGCCGGTGAGATTTCTAAACCATTTCCAAATTTATGTTAGTGCATTTAAACCGTTGTTTTGGGCTATGTGCAGTTTCTTTCTCCTTACACACAACATTCCCTCCGAAGTGTTTGTAGCTTCACCTTGAAATAAAATAAATTGAAGCGACTTCGCGAGAGGTCGCTTTTTTTTGTAACGGCAATTTTCAAAAATAGTTTAGCTTTGTGGAAAAAATAAACGATGTCGGAAATAAGCAGATTTTATGGGATAGCGATTAAAATGTTTTTTGATGACCACAATCCTCCACACATTCATGTAACCTATGGAAATTACAAAGCAAGTATTGATTTGAATGATGGAGTAGTAAATGGTTTCATGCCTAAGCGTGCATTAAAATTAGTATTTGAATGGATGGAACTTCATCAATCGGAATTGTTGGACAATTGGAATGCATTGCAATTGGGAAATGGATTAAAAAAAATAGAACCTTTAAAATAGAAAATAATATGTCAAAATTAATTTGGATTACAGCCGCAAAATACATAGAGGGCTATAAATTACACTTATCTTTCAATGATGGTAGAGAAGGAATTTTGGATTTAAAAGAACGGCTTTATGGCAAGTTTTTTGAACCCCTTTTAGACAAGGAACGCTTTAAAATTTTTACACTCAATGAATGGACCATAGAATGGGAAAATGGCGCAGACTTAGCCCCTGAATATTTACACGAATTGTGTCTAAAACAAAATGAAGAAAAAGTTCACCTCAATATTTAAGCCTTTCTAAAATTTGTTTTTTGGGATTTAACCCACTGATTCATGATGGGTATCGCCAAACACCACAATCTAAAAAACATTCAAGCGACTTTCGAATGAGGTCGCTTTTTTGTAATCACAAATTCAACGAAAAGGATTAATTTTGTGGAAAAATTATTATTGTTTTCTTGAGGGATTTGGGTTGCCAAGTTTGAAGAGTTTCGATTTAATTAATATTTTATTTTTGCAATAAATACGATTATGCTTGCACCATTAGATAACGAAACTATTTTTAAAAAAGCATTTACCGACAAAGAAGTTTTTCAATGTTTTGTTAAAGATCTTTTTGGTGTGGATGTTATTGTAGATAAAATTGAAACAGAGAAAAAGTTCGAACCCCCGATTTCTCCAATCAATTTTGAATTAGATATTTATGCGGAGAGTTTAGATCATCATTTCATTATTGAAATTCAAAAAATTGACTACGACCATAATTTTGATAGATTTTTACATTACTTTCTCACCCTCATTTCCAATCAACAAAAAAGTTCATTAGATTACAAGTTTCAGCAAAAAGTTTTAGGCGTAGTGATATTTGCGAGACCATACCGCTTTAACACAAAAGATGGGCTACCGATTCGAGATAATGTGTTGATTATGGAATTTAATCCCCGAAATCTAAAAGGAGAGTTCATCAAATTGTATGAACATAATATGGTGTTTTTAAATCCATCAGAGAAATATCAAAATAATAAAACACCAAAAAAATATCAAGATTGGCTGGATTTATTGTATGCTTCCATGAAAGACCCAATAAACTATAAACTCAATTTGAATAATAAGGGAATAATGAAGGTCATACAACTTATTGATTATGAACACTTAGATGGCGAAACGCTGCGACAAATGAAAGAAGCCGAAATGCGTAAAGAAATGGAAGGGTTAATTAAAAATGAAGGAATAAGTGAAGGAAAAAAGGAAGGATTGATTGAAGGTGAAAAAAAAGGGAAAATCGAAGGCAGAATGGAAGAAAAGATTGAAATCATCGTTCAAAATTATCCACAATTCAGTATTGAGCAGCTTTCTATTTTGACGAAACTGTCCGCCGACGAAATCAAAGACATCCTAAATCAACACAAACTGCTTTAACTTTGCTGCGGGATTTGGGTTGCCAAGTTTGAAGAGTTTCGATTTAATTAATATTTTATTTTTGCAATAAATACGATTATGCTTGCACCATTAGATAACGAAACTATTTTTAAAAAAGCATTTACCGACAAAGAAGTTTTTCAATGTTTTGTTAAAGATCTTTTTGGTGTGGATGTTATTGTAGATAAAATTGAAACAGAGAAAAAGTTCGAACCCCCGATTTCTCCAATCAATTTTGAATTAGATATTTATGCGGAGAGTTTAGATCATCATTTCATTATTGAAATTCAAAAAAATTGACTACGACCATAATTTTGATAGGTTTTTACATTACTTTCTCACCCTCATTTCCAATCAACAAAAAAGTTCATTAGATTACAAGTTTCAGCAAAAAGTTTTAGGCGTAGTGATATTTGCGAGACCATACCGCTTTAACACAAAAGATGGGCTACCGATTCGAGATAATGTGTTGATTATGGAATTTAATCCCCGAAATCTAAAAGGAGAGTTCATCAAATTGTATGAACATAATATGGTGTTTTTAAATCCATCAGAGAAATATCAAAATAATAAAACACCAAAAAAATATCAAGATTGGCTGGATTTATTGTATGCTTCCATGAAAGACCCAATAAACTATAAACTCAATTTGAATAACAAGGGAATAATGAAGGTCATACAACTTATTGATTATGAACACTTAGATGGCGAAACGCTGCGACAAATGAAAGAAGCCGAAATGCGTAAAGAAATGGAAGGGTTAATCAAAAATGAAGGGATAAGTGAAGGTGAAAAAAAAGGGAAAATCGAAGGCAGAATGGAAGAAAAGATTGAAATCATCGTTCAAAATTATCCACAATTCAGTATTGAGCAGCTTTCTATTTTGACGAAACTGTCCGCCGACGAAATCAAAGACATCCTAAATCAACACAAACTGCTTTAACTTTGCTGCGGGATTTGGGTTGCCAAGTTTGAAGAGTTTCGATTTAATTAATATTTTATTTTTGCAATAAATACGATTATGCTTGCACCATTAGATAACGAAACTATTTTTAAAAAAGCATTTACCGACAAAGAAGTTTTTCAATGTTTTGTTAAAGATCTTTTTGGTGTGGATGTTATTGTAGATAAAATTGAAACAGAGAAAAAGTTCGAACCCCCGATTTCTCCAATCAATTTTGAATTAGATATTTATGCGGAGAGTTTAGATCATCATTTCATTATTGAAATTCAAAAAATTGACTACGACCATAATTTTGATAGATTTTTACATTACTTTCTCACCCTCATTTCCAATCAACAAAAAAGTTCATTAGATTACAAGTTTCAGCAAAAAGTTTTAGGCGTAGTGATATTTGCGAGACCATACCGCTTTAACACAAAAGATGGGCTACCGATTCGAGATAATGTGTTGATTATGGAATTTAATCCCCGAAATCTAAAAGGAGAGTTCATCAAATTGTATGAACATAATATGGTGTTTTTAAATCCATCAGAGAAATATCAAAA